TAATGAATAGTATTTAATTCCTTTGGTGCCCGTAAACGGTATTTGTTATCGGAGACTCTGTTGAAGCTGGGTACTTGTTCAAGTATAAATCGATTCCCTGATCAACACAATGACATTACAGCATCTTTTATTCTTTTAAGGCATTCTTACAAGAGCTCTTAGACGTTCAATAAAAGTATGAGTAGTATCGAAGTTATTTGCCTCCATCCTTTTCGACAGAAACAATCTGTTTCTATCCTTTCACAAAATTTTAATTAAATTCTAAAAATTTTGAACTCTGTAATTCTTAGATGAATTTCACGAAATGGAGCTTCACTCCTTGTCGACATTCTTTTCCTACAATTAAATAGATTAAATGCTTCGTTAACTTATTAAAAAGAATTATCCGTTAAACTAGAAGAATTCAGTGAAAAATGCATCAATTCCTATTCATGATCGCATATTTTAATTGTACCTATGAAAAAAAAAATAAGATATAAGAGATGGCCATGAGAAGGGAAGCAAGCGGTGCGAGATTTTGCTCAATCATGATCGTCTAAATATAGCCGGTAAAAATTTAGTAGGTAAGAGTACACACGAAGGCTGAGGGAGCACAATAAGTTCACCATCGTACATTCATTCCGCATTAGCGTACAAAGAGCTGTGTTAGGTTTAGTGAGTGATTGTTCAAGCCCCAAAGGTCACGGTTAACGTAGGACGTAGGCTGTGAAAGTTGTAAAACGTAGGACACGCGTTTGCGGGTTCACGGGTCCCTAAATGCGTTACGTACTTACTTAGTACGTAGGTATACGGAACCGTGCACAATGAAAACTTGTTTCTATTCACCTTCCTATTCAGTGCTAAACTTAATCGCAGGCTTGAGATCTAAACGAGTTTGCTGATTTGTAAAACAGGTTTACGCGTTTCTGGATAATCACACGGTGAGCCAGTCGATTGTGTGCACATCTACGTGGATGGTAAGGCGTTTGCGTCAAATGAAATACTGTAGGAATAGAATTTATTGGCACTGCCGATGGGTAGTAACGTGTACACAAAAGTGTAAGAACGTCGTTTTCATGGTTTTATTCTGATACGATTCGAAAAACGTGCATACTTCCTATGGGTATGTTTCTTCCCCGCGGCTTGAACGGATTAATCAATGTGATTCCAGAAAAAGTAACTTTGTGTAAATATAAGTGCAGCTTCGATTATTTCAAGGGAAACGATTCTTTTTTAGTAGTAGAAGCACAGCGGAGGGTGACTGTCTGAACTATGTTTACCTTTACCTAACTTTTTGCTTTATATTGAGCAGATTATAAACTTCTCTAGTACCCATTGTGGTTTTCGCTTCTGTTGTTTTTAAAACCCAGGTTTAACGACATTCCGAGAATTCTTGTTCCGTTACCAAGAAATTTGTAACTTAGCGCAATCGTTATTTTGGGCTGCAGCATGATTTATAATTTTAACAATAGTTATAAATAAATATTATATTTATGATTCATTAGGTGTGTTGTGCGAATTCACTTTTCCTTCCAAGAATTTTACCTTACCCCGCATATTTTTGATAACGCATTAGCAAGAGCGTTGTATCGCTTATCGAAACCCTTCCTACTACGGAGCATGTATATGTACTTTTATGCACTCAGCGATTGCATGAAGTCTGATAACATGTCTACCATCCGGCATCTATAATTCGTCCGTACGTGATTCCGTTTATCTACTTCGCATGCACACTTTGGGCTCACGTAAAATTACGTCATAATCCCATCAGTATGAGTCTTGTAAATGTATCCTCGCATAAATGGACCTTCATTCATACGACGAGGTCATGGTTACTATCGCCAATTGTCCCAGATGAAATTGATTGCCACCATATTGACAACGAATATGTTTCTGGCCAATTTTAATTAGTCAACGAGACAGCAGTGTTCATCCAATACTTATGTTAAAATTCTTATTAGAAATTTCTCTCTCTCTCTCTCTCTCTTTTTTTATTGAACTGAGGAATGATTGTTAAATACGTTAGTTACGTGACAAGCACTCGAGCGAAGTACTCGAAACGCTATTAAGATGTAATCTTAATGACAGGAGTTTAATTGCAACTTAATTTAACTGACGAACGATAAGTGACATGAAGGTGACATTGGAAAAGTCAGTAGAATAAACATTTTATCGTTTTAGAAATGTAAATCTGTATCGTATCTGATTCAGTATGTGGCTAATAGATGTAAAACACTTTTTCGCGTGTGATTCCCTCCTCTCGTGTATCGAATATCCGACTTCTTGAATGATAAAGGGCATAATGGCCCTGCAGTGGCTCGGTTGATGATGAATGTAGGTCATTCATATACTTTATCAGAGAGATTCATGTACATATGGCTCGTTACTTGCGAGATTCAGTAACGCGACCGTCGCATCGTTGTAATTTCACAGTTCTCGTTCGTTCAGGGGTAGCACGTTGTATGTACTCGTAACGAGTACTATTCGCGGCGTGACGTGTCGCATCGCGCGTAAATATATGGCAGCGACGCGTACGAACATGTGCGACGAACCTGGGTCACATCTGATTGCTTACAATGCAACGTATGCACCCACACTTGTTCTCGGAGTACGTGCAAGTTTTTACGTTGCCTCTTATCCGGTTCTCGAAACCGATTATGAAACGGACACTTTAAATCCGGTGGTAATTAAAAGCAGAAAGAAATTGAGTTACGATTGCATTACACATTCAGGTTTTCATTTACCAGAATGGAATTCTAGTCATTTCTTTGGCATTTTCTAAAACAGTGTCAAATTTTGATTTGCACCATTTGAGAGAGCCATTTATTACACAAGTTTTTGTTGTCAGTGGAACTGTTAGGTAAAGCACAAAACGACAGTTTCATTGTTCTTTAGAGAAGCTGGTTGCCGGTAGCCATTAATATCAATTTCCTGCACGTGTAATTGTTGTTGTTGCATCGTGCGTTAATGACGCACGAGGATCGTCGCATTCCGATGTATTAGAAGCGTCGTAGGTACGCGCAACACGTAAACGACCGTAGCATGCTCCATACATGTCTACGTAATCTTGACATACATGCCTATTACATACTGGCGCGTCGTTTCAAGTTTCGATTTTGTTCTCAATCGTGTTTTTTTTTATCTGATCCGTCTTCCATCAAGTTCGCTGTAGAATAATTAAACTGTACGACGAAACAGGTTTCCCGTAGTCCACAGGACTGGAGTTGATTTTGCAATAGGTATCCAGCTCCGGACATGAACATGTTGCTCACATCTAATAATATCGACTGATTCTAAGACGTCTAATCTTGTCAATTGATTCGTTGAAACAAACTGTAATTCGTCATCCTTCGATAATCTTATCTTGGATTATTGGAAGCCCCGTTCTCGAGAAAGCTTTCAAAGGCTGAAGGAGCAGAGAGTTGTTTGCTGAGGGCGGATCAATTAAAATGGTCGTTTGAAGGCGAGGCTGGCACGTGACTACGCACGGATTTTCGTGCATTCGTTAATTTAATTACCGTTGCCCAGCGAGCTGTGGGTAATAGCGTTTACGCGCGACACGCTCATTTTTCATTCTCCCTTTTTTTATGTTTGTATTCCATCTGCCGATCCTCGACCGCGTGGAAGTGGGTTGCGAAACCGCATAAAGAGATACGTGGACGCGGACTCGTCTGCTCCGTGTAGAATTCCTTCCGTCCAATGTAAAGGTAGACTGAAAATAAACGTTTTCGCCTCGGCGCGTTACCACAATAGCGCCAATGCTCGAGCACAGAATTCGAAACACCGCTTCCGT